TTTACCACTTTACATCAACTTTATTGACTACGAGAAAGCATGTGATAGAGTGGACAGAACAACACTAAGGAGGTTTCTTCAACACTACGGAGTGCCTGAGAATATAATCAATATCATACAGAATTCATATGATGAATTAATCTTCAAAATCGTGCATGGAGAACAGCTGACAAACTCGTTCGAAGTACAGACGGGTGTCAGGCAACGTTGCTTACTCCGACATGAAGAACACCAACAATATGGCACTTGATGGTGAAACTGTGGAAGAGGTGGAAAGTTTCATTTATTTGGCTAGTATGAACGTGGAGGATCTGATGCAGATGTAAACGTAAGGATTGGCCAAACAAAGACAGCATTCCAACAAATGAAGAACGTATGAAAATTAACTCAATTATTTGCAAATCAACATCAAAATCATAATCTTCAATTTAAACAATGAGACAGGTCTACTGTACGGAGCTGAAACTTGGAGAGCTATCACAATCATCATCAAAAACGTACAGGTATTTATGAATCGTCATCTACACAAGATACTCCAGATCCGTTAGTTAGATACGATTAGCAACGACCTACTGTGGTATAGAACAGTACAGTTTCCATGTGAAGAGGAAAATAAGGGAAGACTTAGGAAGTGAACAAGAAATACATTATGGAAATCAACAAACTGAATCACGAATCATGCGTTAACTTGAATTCATGAAGGGAACTGGAAAACTCAAATATCAAGGAACACATTTTGTTGAGAATTAAAAACAGTCATCAAAATAATGAATATCAATTAGAGATAACTGGAAAGGATTATTCAAGACGGAGTTTTTCGGAAAATAATAGGAGTAAGCAAGTTGGATAATGAATTATATCAAGGGTTCATTGGAAATATCACTATAATATTCTCCTTTCCAAAAAAATGTTTTTTTTTAAAAAGTCATTTCGTAAAAAGGTTATCAGTTTAAATATAACTGAAGTGAAATAATTTTTTTTGTTTATTCCCAATTTTATTTCACACTGAGAATATGGATTATGTTACATGAATATTGACAATTTCATTTAAATACCGATTTCGCTTAAAAGTATGATGTAGTAAATGTTAGATAATTGGGAAAAAGATTTACATTCAATGAATAAAAATGTTTCCACTATGAATTCTATATTTAATAGTGACCTAGTTATTAGACAAAATGGTGTCTTCAAATGATTTGTTGTTGTTGTTGTTTTTTTTAGTATATAAAGCAAAAATCTATAAATGAATGAAAACATCGACAGAACAATTCACTTTTTTCAAAATCCTATTTCTAACATGTTCATAGTACAAAAAACAAACAAATAAGATTATGATTTGTTTATTCTTTCATGCAACAGTTTAATTATAACTTGTTAATATTAGTGCTAGAATTTCTTTCGATTTGATGATGTATAAAATTTAACATTTTGAACATGTTATGAGCAAATTAAAGTATATACATTTTTATATCTATGTGAATGGCTAAGCTATAGAATGTTATAGTGTTATATTCGAGCGAAGATTAAATCACGAGTCACTTCTGAGACATATTAATTGATTAATATTATCTATATATTCTTACGGTATAACTATTTAACAATTAAATTATGTATATTTATATTTATCTTATTATAAGCTTTATTTTGACCTATAATTTATTATTGTACGATTTATCGTTCTTAAGCTATGTTCAGTTTATCAACTATTACCTCCTACGTTCACAGACACTTTTTGGCTTTATTGTGTACAAATGATATTTCATATTTTATGGTCCGTTGCGGTCTGTTCGATTGCTATATTAACCCAGTATGTCTGAAATAAAAGATTCGATTCGATTCATATTGCAGAAACTGATATTGTGTTCTGGACTCAAGTGGACGGGCTAGGCGGACATAGGACCAATAAGGACGCTAGACTGCTCATACCGGTTGAACGTCATTGGTTTTGTTATAGTGCGAAGATCTGTATAAGTCGCATTTTGATTGGTGGATAAATCACGTGATAGAAGCCGGACATAAAATCATAACATATAGTAGCCTAGATCTACTTATAAATAGTTATAAAGTAAACGATTACGTAATCCAACGGAATATATTTGTTCATTTAATACATGTTAAACAGTCTGAAGTTGATCCCTTGGGATCAAGGATATCCCTTCTTTAAGAAATATTTATTATAAGCTAAGTTTACTATCATGAATACAACCTGATGATAGGTTCATTTTAACGCAGATAAAAATAAACGTCCATATAATCGACGAAACATGATTAGCATAGTTCAGATTGAATCTTGTTGATATTTTACAATTTCAAACAATCAGTTTCCTGTGGAATGTAATGAGGGAAATTGAATGAAACTCAAAAGTCCAAAAATTAATTATAACTTTTGACCGTTTCTAACATTTTTAACTACCATTACAATTTTGAAGGCGTCATCTTAAAATAAGACCGGAATATCAAATCATTCATTAGAAAGACCTTTACGTATATCACCGAAAACAGTCCTTTCGTTTATTAACTTATGAATCAATAACTGGGGAAAAAAAGGATGACTGATAACATCTTAATTTAATCAACAACCATGAATTTGTAGAGTTAACACTCATGAAATGGACTATCAAAAAATTGGTATTATTTGGTCAGAGTCGATCTATAAAGAATCTGCAAGCGAATAATATCAGTTGTTAGTCACTAATAATAATCATTTATACAAGTAATCACATATTGACTTCTGTTTGTCAAGTTTTTTGAACTTAGTCATTCTTTAGTAAGTAAACCTAAATCACAGAAGTCAACAATATTCCTTCTTAGTGTATTTTCAGATTATTTCCATTAACTTTTATAATCAAGTTCAATCCATGAGATTGGAATATAAAATATCAAAACTTATGCCTGATTATTAATTTTGTCGCATATAATGTGGTTCTATGGTAGTTTCTAGAAGAATTTTCGTTATACACATGATATTGCATACGATGAAGGTGCTTATTGTTATAAGTTACTAACACTAAAGTCCAGCTGTTTGTATATAAAAGGATTCAGTAATTTCGAAGGCATATGATCGAAATTTCTCAGCTTTAGGTTATTTTTACCTTCAGGCAGTGTTGAAATTGTTGTTTTCTAACGATATTTCACGCACAAACTATATGCCTACAATAATTTTCATGTCGTATTCTTTTATCGTGACAATCATATACTTTTGTTGTCATCCATTTTCATATAAAAAAAGCAGTTATGTAGTTTCATCTTACATAATTATTTTAATCTATAATCCGAAGCAATTTGTATTGCTCATTTTTCATTAAAAGAATAAATATCCGTAGACACAAATAAACTAAAAAATAGTCATTATTTTCCATAAGTTCGAACTGAATTGTTTTGCTTAGAAACAAACGACTACAGCAAAGTTCACATGAAAAAGCCGATAAGAAAATTCTTTTTTCTATAAATGTATTTATAAATGTAACATCTTTCTTATGAGATTCTCAGTAGTAAAGATCTTGTAATAAAAGCATTTACAAGTTTAAATCTTTTTCATTATGATAGAATACAAGTCATTATTCTTGTATCGAGCAGCTAAACAACTTACATCAAAAAACATTTGTGCCGACAAAAGTTAAGTTTGATTATTTTCAAGAGTTTGTCATTACAGTATACTCATAATTAAATATGCCAGAGTAGGTATAATTATACGCATCATCTTACATGTTGAAATGTTTATGAATGAGTTTTTTTATTTTACGAAATCTCGATGAAAACTCATAGATAAAAATGAAACATTCTTTAGAATAAAAAACCTAATTAAACTACAGTCTTGTAAATTAATAAATAGTGATAACTGAACAAGCGGTTTAGTTGAATGATGATGGTTCTACAAGGGTGAAAGGAAAGCAGTTAGGAGTACTATACTTGGACACCTAATCGACTGTAACCATTCTACAGATCCATAATTTGATTTTAAGGTTGTTTATACGATTCGTTCAAATCTACCCAGATTTCTTCGTATCCAGCTCTTAAAAATAGCCGAAGATCTAACCATCCAGGAGCTTAAACCGGAACTATGTGTACAAAAGAAGTACGTCTTATCGTTATCGTTACCTTGGCCTTAATTATTATGATTATCCTATTATTATTACTGCATTCCCCCTTTACTTATGTCTTATATTCTTATCATTTTATTCGTAAATGCTCATCATATCACCTTATTTATTTTTTACACCTCTTTTATAACAAAAACATTTTAATCATCTTATTATACTCACTAGATCTATTGTTATTATTCATATTACATAATCTAATATTATAACCTTTTTTATTAATGGTGTTCACATTTCCTCATGGAATTAGTACTTTTACAAAAACGAAAATCTTCATATATATACGATTGTACAGCTTGATAATAAATTCGTTGAAAAAAAGAGATCCCTTCGCTGAACTTCGTGTTGTAATTTCAATGTTTAAATGGGAATTATCTGTCAATCTTCATTGTGTTGTGGAATTTTTTCAAACTAACAAGATAAAAAAACCCCAAGAACATCTATAGATAAGATTCAAACTCATTTATATTGTTACATTAATTTAACTTAATATACTCAACTAATTCATATATAATGATAAACAATAGACATTCAACAGATTCAATTTACAATTTTATGTATTTTTGAAAAAAATAAGTTTAAATTCAAAATCCATCACAGAAATATATTTTCTCAGTTTTTTATCCATGGAACTAAAATGATTTACTTTCATTTTATTGACTAACAATATCACTTTTAATAAGTTTTTCTCTTCTTTGTATCATAATTCTTAACAACAACACATTATGAATTAATATAGGAGGAGGGGGGATAGTTATTTGAAAGAGAAAGTAACTTTTAGAGTAATACAATCAAATATACAATTTACGAATGCAAAAACAAGTAACTATACAATTAATGAAAGTTTAAAAGTTTATCAAAGAACACACTTTAGTTTTTACAACAAGAAAAAAAGAATGCTGTGAACAATAGAAAGTTGCTATGTAATTTTTCTCTTAAAAATGATAATATTCTGATAAACTCATAGATTTTTAAAGAGAAAGAATGTATCTGCGAAAAGCTCAGCGAAAGAATTTGAAGTAAATTCAACGTTTTGCCTGACAATCTGATCTAAGTTTTTTTCAAGGAAAATATAAATAGATCTTTGTATTTATAAATGAATTTCACTATTTAACTTGAATATAAAAATCCACAACATATTAACATAGATTGTCGAAATATAATACAAATAGAATAACTTAATTGTTTTATAAATATCCAATACCACCAATGAGTTGTAACTATGGAAAATTGTACTAGATTACAAATTTCATTAACTATTTTATTTTCATGAATAAAATTAGTTTGACTATTAACAGTAGTATTAGTGTTTTGAATTAAAATTTCATAAGTAACATCATAAGGACTATTCATAGTGTTTGTAGTACTTTTATTAGTCATATTATGACTATTTAAATAATTAGTAGAACAATTCAAAATAGAATTATCCCTTAAACTCAATAATTGTGGATTAAAAAATTTCATTAATAATAAACAAATTTCATTGGTAATTAAATTAATTATTAAATTAGTAAAAAATGTAGGTTTAGTAATTCGATGTAAAAAGCATTTTACCATAATTAATGGTATGCATATTATCTCAATACAATTTTCTATTACTTCTATACATAGTGTTAAAAGAATAAAGTATATCAAAAATAATTCTTGATCAGATACATAACGATACTGATTAATCATATAAGGTTGATGTATAGCATAAGTTGACAATGAATTATGTACAATGGATGTATTTAGAAAAGATGAGTTAATAACAAAATCTTTAGTATATACGTTTGTGAATTTTAATAAAATTTCAATAATTTGCATTAAATTAAAACATATTGAACCAGTGAATTGAAAAAGAAATGGAAAATAAATTAAATTTGATTTTAACCAATGGAGATGATTTGAAAATTTATAAGAATAAATATAACTTGAATTTGAATGTTTATCATAAGTTGAAGAATAAACTACTAATAAAATGTTTTGTGATATTATCAATATTAAAATTAGAAAATAACTAAAATAACAAAGAAATATTTGTGAAAATTCATTTAGCCTATAAGTAGACAAATGTATGATACAAATGATTACTGAAAATAAACTAAATAATCCACAAATGTAAGATTTCCTTTCACAATGACAATAAACGTTGTTATTATAATTTGATACTGATTGTGAAATTCGAGAAATTGTTAAATTTTTATGATGGATAGGTGATGATGAATTGGTTTCTTTAGCCCAATGGACAAGACGTTTTTTCCTAGGTATATTTTCAAAATTTTGAAGATTTTTTATTAGTTTTCGAACGTTCCAACTGATCCAGATCAAAACTGTTTCATCGAAATAGTTCATGAGCAAATGCAAGAATGTAAAAAGCATTATTTTTTTTATTAATAATTGCAAAATATACGGCGAGACTATAATTCATGGACGAACCAATCAGGTATAAGATATAAGGGTCTCGGATTTTCAAACACCCATTTGGCTAAATAGAGTTTTGGCATTAAAGCTGATGCCAGTTTGTGATGCAAACACTTAATTAAACCATAATCATTAACTGTAAATCATAATTCGAATTCATCACACTGGTTTATAACCCTCATTTGGTCCTAGTTATTAGGTGACTTTAGGTCACTTTAGCGTCACTCAAAAGTCGTCCATAAATTATAGTCTCACCAAATATACATCTTCTCCAGTCAACAAATTTTCTCACTTTATATAAAATAAAGAAATTCATTTTAGACTAATTTCAAAACAGTAAAAGTACTCGTAACTTGAACATTTTTTTGACAAGCAACACTACCCATTCCATGTTTATTTTGCTTTTTATTCGCTCAGTCAGAGAATGTTACCATTAGATTGAAACTCATTTTATTTAGTGACGTTGAAAAGATAATCGTTTAGTTATTCTGAAACCAATTACCTTTCTAGTAAAATGGTTCTTTAGAAGAGGATTTTTGTTATTTATTTTTAGAAATAAATAAAAATTTGTTTCACAAAATTGTTCAAAATATCTCTTTTTATCAACAACAATTATCTTTAAAGAAGAATATGAAAATGGTATGAGAATTAAAATTTCATGAATAACCTTATTTACGAATATAGGAAAAAGTAAAGATAGAATGTAAAATAAACTCATTTTCAAAATTTCTTTTTAATTCAACTCCCGTAGTGTGAGAAGGTCATTCAACCTATTGATATATAATTGGTTGGGACAACTGTGTTTATTATTTATCCAATGGGATATAATTTTGAACATCCTTTCTACTAAAACCAAAATTAATACATTATCCAACCAACAAATAATTTTGAGATCCACCATTTTTATTCAACAAAGAATTTATCATTGTTTAGTTGGTGTAAATATGATTTAACGGTAATCATAATTATAACATTTAGGTACTATCAGCTAACCTGAAGATTTATAGTATTGGCAGATCAGTTTTTCATGCACTGGTCACTAAATGGAAAATGCATCACTTTTTTTACAGAAAATATACTGATTATTTTGTTTAAAAAATTAAAAAGCTCGTTGAACATGAGTATTATAAGGCAGCAAGTCTGAACCCTCACTATTTGAAACGTAACTTTTACTTGTCCTAGTGGAAAAAAATTAATGCTTCACTATTATTAATGTTATGTCAAGAGGTTGGATTCTTAATATACCACGTACAACTAGAGCACTCGAATGCCTAAACCTTCCAAGTTACAAATGAAAAGACAGAAGACAAGTGAAAGGAATCCTATTTCAGACAGTGTCAAATATGGCACAAAACTATCAAGAATTTATAGTTTTTTAGTAAAACGAAATCATCATTATAGTCATCCAGTCCGCATACACGGGGGTCTAGCACTTGCCCAATAGGGAAGCTACACGCGGAGATTCTGGAACATTCTTCCAAAAGATGATTGGATGGAATATCTTTGGCTATTTCTGAGTTCACTCGTGAGCCCTCCCCAAAAATTACTTCAAAGATACTAAACTGTAATAAAAATCATTTTAAAAAACGTTTTTCTAGATGCATAGTAAAGTTTGGACTTACCTACAACTAGAAGATGTGAACAAGCGACACAATTTAGAAGATAGGCTACTGGACTTTGTATAACCTTCAAAACTGACAGTCTATTAAAGTTACCTGAAAGTAGACAACAGTTTAATTCCACATACATAATAATAACACTTTAATATATAAAAATAACAAAAAGTTCAATATTTCAGCAATACAAATTCTATTTTGTCAGAACCACTTCTTTAGTAATTCGGATACTTAAACTTTGTTAGCAAGCAAGCAAGCTAGAATAAACATTTTTGTCTATTGTTTTTGTTTTCAAATGAATCGTCATCTATTTAATTCAAACTAGATTCAAAATAAATTACAAATCCGAAAACAATTTGGAATATAGATTTCTCACACTCATATCTTATACCTTTCAAGTCACATGTAGATGGCTAATTAAAGATTCTGACTATAAAAGCTACATGAAAATTATTGTTCACAATAGTGATCATAAATAAAACAAACGCAGTAAAGATGTATCATCAGCATCATAAATTTTTCGTGCATATTTAAAAGTAACTTTAAACAAACGAAAGCAAACACTCTTTTGCTGTCCAAGGAACCTTAATGTGTGAAAAATATTATTTTATCATGAATATTGATTACATATTTTTTCTCAGAAATGGTAAACACGAAATTTGTAGAATATCCTTTCTTGTATGCTCGGCAATGTAGTCACATATTTTTATGAGACCATTTAATGAACGGTGAAGCCTCAAGAGAAAATATGTGTCAAAATATCTTGTCTGCGACATCACAACGTAGTTATGCTACGAAATTATTACTCATGGTCTAATTAGCTTTAAACCCACAGTAATCATGTTTTATTGATATTATGAACCGGTCCTTGTTAAACCACACTTGAAAACCTAAAACTTTTGGACGGCCGTTTCGTCCTCGTATGGGACTCCCCTTCAGTGATCACCCACGACCCTGCACACAGGATTTGAACCTAGGACCTTTGATCTCTCCAGCCCAGTGGTCTAAAGTTTAGGCGTTTTCAAAAAAAAACAAATAAGTCAGTTCATAATCTCGATAAAAACTCAACGATTTCCACAAACCTGGACTGATATTAATGATGCTCTTTAACAATGTTTCAACATTCAGTTGACTGCATTAATCAATGAAATGCTGTCCTATTTATTAGGTGCGGGGGTGTGTGTGGAAATTAATATCGTAACGAAGTAATTTTGTTTATATTTGACTTCCGTCTGCAGAATTTATAAACCACTGAAACATAAATAGTTTGGACTTAGCTTCCATATAGTATCGAAATGTACATTTGTTGACATAACCGGATGAATTAGTTTGCCATGTTTATCCCTAATGTTCATATTGTATCTGAGCTATCGTCCATTTATTTCCTTTTTCTACAATAAAGATAACTCTTATCCTTTAAGATTTTATCCTTAAAGTGGCATATAAAATGATAAGTCAAGTGGCCTAGACAAATAAAATAATTTGTTTCTTTTGCTATTATTTGGAATATATATCACGTGTATGACCATATAGATTTCAGATGTAAGCCAATTTTTCAGTGAAAAGTGACGCTAATCATTCCATTTGTTTGAAGGTCAACACAAATAGGTAATTAATATTCTAAATAGTTTATAAGCTCTTAGTTAGCTTTCATCTGAACAACTCATCTTTTTCAGGAAATTTTATAATATCGATAAATAATATTGCACTCCACTATTATTAAATGTGAAACACATGACAATTGGTTCTCGTTCTTAATTAATTGATCTACTAAAATGCGAGAATTGTATAGGTTTTAGCGACTTAAAAATGTTAGTCTACAGAACTAAAGAAAGGTAATTAGTTTTGATACGTTGCAGGTAGGTCGATAACGAAATTATTTATTACAATGAATTGGAACTTAAACTTGAGTAAATTGGATTGGACCATGAAGGATATAATTCATTCTTTAGAATAAACAACTAATGATCTTTTTTAAAGTGCGGATTACCAATAGAAATGAAACTATTAATTGGTGGTTATCTTTTAAAGTCGAGACAAATAAATCGTTCTATTCAGCAGTTTCAAATAAAATATACCCATATATATTCTGGCCTCTATAATTTGAATCAGACGCACTACTTAAGTCTTCAAATAATAGGTCATATATTAGACTACAGAGACAGAAAACCCTCGGTCACTAAAGACTATAATCTTGTTTCGTCAGCTTGTAAGACTGAGTCATTAAGATCCTATAAATGTAAAAATGTCATACTAAGATGTTTCTGTGCCGTCTTTAACAAAATATTGATTGTTTCAATGGATAACTAAAGAAAAATTCAGGAGCTTAAAATTCTTTATAACTTTGTTCCTTAACCACTCAGCATAGAATGCAATCCAAATATTTGGCTAACAACAGATAGTGTCAAATTCTAGAAAATACTCTAAATACTTAACTAAAAGTTGAACAGTCTAGTAATAAAGAGATATGGTTTGATTTCAAAATGAATATTTAATGTAATCGAAACAACAATTTCGTAGTTTACTAAATGTTACTAAATGTTTGATATTTTAAAGCAAATAATATCAATAGAATCGTAGACTAACACAATATACCTTTAATTTCATATGTTTTGTTTAACTTATATTCATGATAGTAGCTGAGGTAATTTTCCGTTCCTATATATGCCATACGGAACCAACTGGTTAGATTGGCGGCTATAACGTGTACAAACAGTAATCCATTGTACATTCTCAACATTTTTGGAAAAATCTAGAATTAAAAACAGTAGACGGAATGAAATAAGAACACACAACATGAGATAAAAAACCCTTCATTTCACTTGTCATGTAAAAAGTAAAATTTATAGTGAAAGATTATATGGAATACACCCATCAAGACATAAAATTAGAAAAATTGATTCAGCGAAGAGTTCTCTTTTCGACAAATTCATTTTCAAAGCTGTACAACCGCAAAAGAGATTAGTACAACCTCTTCTTCTGCTATGGCCTTAATGTCTTATAATCTTTTTTTCTTCATACTCTTCTGCCTTAATATCTATCTGCTTCCACATCCATTTTCTACTACCAACTGGTTTATTTCTGTTTCTATGATCCTCCTGATCTCAACTTCAAAATTTCATTTTATCATGATGAGCCATTATTTCCCAATGTTAATTTCACTATCTTTTGACGAATATTTAAGCCATTAACAATTAAACTATTATTAGTTTCCCCGTTTAAAAATCTTTTTAATACATTTGTTTATTCTAACTCACTGTCATCATGTTTAACAGAGGTTTATCATTATTATTATTACTATTGTAATTATTATCATTTTGTAAAAATAAGTATATATATTTTCTATTGTACAGCTTTGAAAATGAATTCGCTGAAAATAGAACTCTTTCCTGAACCAATATTTCTTATTTGATGTCTAGATTAAACTGTCTGAAACAAACGACGAAATAATACAAAAATGATCCAAATATACATCAAGTGTAGGCTAAGCTTATGCACTTCAACCACATATTATCCCATGAAGTAAAAATAACGTATTTACATTGTTTAGCTTTGATAGGTCGTTTCTCGTTAAAAAGCTCGTTGATTTACCAGAGATATTTTTTTGGTGAGTAGTATACATTATTGACACTATATGTGAAGGAAACAAACAGACATAATCAGGAATACTTTGAATCATAATGAGACATTATTAACAGTTAACTGACTTCTTTTGAAATAATATTTAGAGTGAGAGGAAAAACCAATTTCCCAAACTCCTACTGAATCCTATTTTCAGAGTAATGATCCTCTGACTACTTACCATACAGTTCCTCAATTATCAGAACATAAATAATTTTGTCTGTAAAATCTGTATAACATTTAAGTTCATTCCTTTTTATTGGAATATTTGGCATTCCATAAAAGTTCAAATGTTTCAGGTATGCTTTTAATTATTCATCTAAGGAAACTGGAGGGGTACTTTACGGCTGTGAATAATTTTTTTGTAATATCTATTAAAATCATATAACCATACAGATTGTAGTAAAATTGTGTTGATCAGCGTCAACAACATTTTTGACAATCACTTCAACTTAGCTACGTTTAGTATCATTATTATTACTAATTATTTCACGCACTTAGTTACCTTTATGAATTTATTTAAACAACCATTAAATTTAGATAATATAAATAAAAGACGGAGTTTATCAGAACTGTGATATATTAGTGCAATAGATTTCAAATAATCAGATCACTCATTTACTGATTAGGACATTTACACATGCAAATTAAAAGGTCAAACTAGACAAATTGGAACACAAGAAGAAAGAATAAGTATTATGGAAAACGATGTGAATCATACGACTTTGGATAATATTTCTGTATTATTAGGGTACTTCCAAGAAGTTTTCATCAATTATTGAACTCAGAAGGATATCTACGTTACCTCGACATCTCGGTTAAAAGTTTTAGTTATTAGTGGTGAACATAGATACGTTGGAAAGACTAAATGTAATAAGTTCGTAATGGTGGCTGAACAAATATCTAAATGGCCAAAATACCAAGTGAATTTTAATGATTTAAGAGCACATGATAAACGAAATATCTTCCACCGTTACTTGGCATTCAGTTGAGACAGAAAATGGGCTTGATTTCAAAGCAGTCTTTTGGGTATTGTATAGAAATACCCAGCGACAAACATATAAGTTCGTTATATGAACATTCAAACTCCAGCGTATCCAGAAACAGCTAGTTCTCACTTTGAATTCACTTCGATAATAAAAAATTATTATTATCCAAAGTCGTGTGATTCATATCGTTTTCCATAATACTTATTCTTTCTTCTTGTGTTCCAATTTGTCTAGTTTGACCTTTTAATTTGCATATGTAAATGTCCTTGTCAGTAAATGAGTGATTTAATTATTTGAAATTTATTGCAGTAGTATATCACAGTTCTGATAAACTCCGTCTTTTATTTATATTATCTAAATTTAATGGTTGGCTTTATTGAATTATTTCAATTATTATTATAAGGCACAATTTTAGTGTGGTTACGGTTCTTCAGAATCCCTTAGAATCAGTTTTTAAACTAATTTAAATAACGGTGCTCGTTTCAATTAATATCTTAAACAACGGTCCCATTAAGTCACATATTTTGAATAGTATAACACTAAATAATTTTACTCATTGTTTGTATGACTTACCTTTTTTAGTTGAATCATCATTGGTATTTGTATGATAAGTACAAGTACCCATAATACATTATTAATCAATTTTAACCAATTTATGTAAGTAATCTGATGAAAATCATGGTTTTTATATGAATTATCAGCTGTTACATTTGTCTTATTATTTGATACTGTATAATTAAAAAAAATAACATAACTATATTTCGGATTATTAATGTACGAGTTACTTGTGGGCATTATTGAACTATTAATTATTAAGGGATGTTGATGAGAGATATTGTTATCTGCGAAAATAGTGGTCTTTTTTTCTAATAGATATTTTTTCTCATCCACATGGTGATGATCATTCTCATTGGTAAAATAGTTTTTATTATTTTCTCTTAAATTTGCATGATTTGAAGAGTACCAGATACCCCAATCGGTACTAATGGATGATTTAATTAATCTGTCTCCATAATATATGATGCTTATTAGGCTTCCAACTAAAATGAATCAAATGTAAAATGAAATATTTAAAAAATACCAGGGAATATTCAAACAAATATGTCATTTGTATAGATTTGCATCAACTGATATTAAAGAAAATACTTTAAAATCGTGAATCGATATATAACTATCGTTAGAAAATACTCAGTGGATACACTGGTTACACAAGTACTGTTTGACCTCCTGTGCGAAATTTATCGTATTCTAAAGAAAAATGGAACGTTCGACGATCCTTAAGTTTCCTAGGTGCTTTGTGCTTGAACACCATTGTTTATTCAACTTTCAATATGTTCTTGTTTATATCATGTTAATATATGGTAACGAACGCCTCACCATACGTGATTCAGAACTGCGAATCCTACCATTTATATGGTTTTCTAATTGAGTGATGATTTAAAGATAGTTTTGTTAACATAAATTTATAATTTAAAAAGTAATAGCAATAACCATAAAATCGAGTAACTTACCACAAAAGAATCCTAGAAAAATATATTCACATTGTAAAATTATTCTGGAATGGGTTTGAACATTTTTCATACCTTTTAAATATGTAGTTAATCTTTTTGTTTGATTAGCGTTATGAAACTGTGACCTTAAGTTTTTTGCATTACCGATGGTCCCAAGCTGATGATACTGCATACTATCAGGCCGAGAAATTGAAATTTGTCTTTTAGGAGATGGCAGTTTCTTACTTTGATGTTTGATATCTACTTGACTGTTGTCATTGTCCACAATCTGATTTTTTCGCCTATGATAAGCCTTAACATGGTTCCGTCTTAGAGTGAATAACTGGTCGGTTACACGACTTCGACGATAAGGAAAGTAATGTAAATGTTGAAGTTTATTATCCATCAAACAGCAGCCACAAAAAGAACGGCAAGCATTGAAATACATCGTAAAATAGAAGCTCAGAAAATGTAAAAGTTGTCCAATTAATAAAAAGTTGAGGAAGATCTAAACGGTATTAAAAATAAACAAACAAAATATATCCATAAAATACTTTACTTTCCCAAAAAATTGGTCAAATCTTTTTTAATAGTGCACCTTACTAAGCTATTCGAACCCTGACTGATAAGAAGGTTAGTAGGTCTTTTATCAAGACTATTTATCATCTTTTGAGGAAAACAGTGACTGAGCATACAACCACTTAATACGATACTGAGACCATAAGGTGTAAAATGATAGGGCAACTAAAGACTCTGACTTCCAAGGGACTGTTGGAAATATCTAGAACAGTAATTCTGAAAATAGAATCGATGTAGTATCATAAGTATGACGTACATGTAAAGGTGAGAGATTTGTGTACCCGATATTTCGTGAAACTGAAGTTTTATGACCTTAACTCTCCTATATGTTGAACGAGGTATTATTTTTATAATTAATGCAACAAAGTAATGCTTTATGAAAAGCATCACTCGTAAAAATATTTTAATTAACTGAAGTAAATTACATTTATTTAATTTTGTAGTAAAAAGTTAAAACAATAAGTCAATCAATCTGAAATATTCATAGAAACCAGTCTATACGAAATAACAATTTCAGTGTTACAAAAAAAAGCAAATCTTCTTTGATATACTATTGTTCACTATTTATTCCACGGTAAATTTGAAATTTGATCAAAATTATCAAGAATTTCAATCATATTTCTATTTTGATTTTATTGTACTTTATTTCATCACAGTTGTAGAGAATCATTCTCTGAACTATATGAAACTGTTTTGTTAATTGTTAGAAATGGAATTAAAATGTTAAAATGCTATCTCATGTAAACATTATTTAAAATATAAAACCATAGTTTCATCTAAACATTATATGTTTTTAATTAACACAACCGATGTTTAACAAGGTCTGGTGAAATAAATTCTTCGATTTTAAACAGTTAATCTACTGGTTTTTATTCACTGTAAGTAATCAGCAAATCATTTATAGCAGATGGAATTATTCTTTTATTCAGAAAAACGCATACGATATGAAAGTCGTGAAATTAATCGGCCTTCTCCAATAAATATCTAAAGATGTTTGCAATGAATAGAATTAAATTTAAGTTATCTGTCATAATTTTTTTCGTATTATGTTTCTGATAACATCAGTTTACGGAATTCATTGACATATTGTTTTCTATAATCCAACACAATCTTCAGTGTCGTATAAGACTAAAGCATCTGAACATATTTTAAGAAACGTTTATGTATATAGAATATCAAAATTGCAATTAATTTTATGTAGGATTACAAAAATATATAAATTGCAACAAATATAACTCACTTCTAAAAAAATTGATTCTGACTTCTTTCCATTGAACTGTATACACACTAATAGAAACCCCACAGTGGTCAACAAAATCCCATATATTATTTTTATGATTTTGCTGACATATTTACTAAGTTATTGCAACAACAAGAATAAATAAATAAATTATCAGTAGTTTGATCTCAATATTTTATAAAGATAATATTTTTTATAACATAAAAGATCTCTCGCTAATAAGTGGCAAAAAATTAAGCGATAAGTAAAGAATTCAATAATGTTTCTAAGTGATATGAAATCTTATTTATCCATGCTGGAGCACATAAAGTAGACGTTTAATAAATGAAGCAAAATAAATGGGAATGTTTTATTAGGCAAATCTGTTTGACGTTTTAGTAAGTGGGCCAGTTAATAGATTTGACAGCTCCGAATATAATTATGACTGAAATTATGATAATGAATTTCCTAAAAACATAGTGCTCCAATGAAATTTCTTTCGTTTTAATATAACAAACATTATGGTTTGCAAAACTGGACTAAACAGTTGTTATCATTACTTATCAGCTATCATAAAAGTAAGGAACGCAACAGTATGCTTAGTTGATTAGGCTGAAGAAGAATAAACTTTGATCATGAACAATCTGTTCTCCTGATAATAGGAGATAATGAGCGATGTGGAGTCATTTAATAATGGGATCAAACCTTGGTTGAAGCTTGACTTGGTGAACAAATAATTCCATCATGTTTCTGGAGAAAATTATGATGCTAGGATTTCTTTATTTGCATATTTTACCTTCCTTGTTAAAGCGTATATATATACTGCTTAATAATTATACTGAAATTCTAAAAGAAGTTAAACAATGTAACATTTCAAAATGACACAATAACAGAAAATCATGGAGTTCATTTTCCAACTTGGACGTCAGCTTAGTGGTCTAGAAGTTATAAACATGCGAAATCAAAGATCCTGAGTTCGATTCGCGCGTGAGGTGTCGTAGGCCTGAACTGCTTAAATGTCCCATACAAAGACGAAATGGGCATCCAGAACCTCTCGAATTTCAAAGGTAGTCTAACATTGATCGGTTCAAAATTTTAGTGGAATTCAGCAATCTCCCCAACCCTATACTTACAATAATTACGCTAACATTTTTATTTGTAGATGGATTTGATGGTCAAAGATATCCATTGCAAATTTATCACTGTGTTCAAGAGTAACAAACAAGGTACATTATTGATGAGAAAGTAAAATATCAAGTAGAAACATTGTGATTTAGAAAATGAAACGTTAAAGTATGACAAAGTTTTTAATACTTTCCGTCTGTATATCAGATTTTAGTGGTTATTTTCATAAATTACAACCATCCCGCTAAACTCGCATCAGAAGCTTACGCTTATTACTCGAGACTCAGGTTTGCTTTCAAAAAAAAATTGTTCTAACCAAACTGCTTTTGGAATTATACTGTTTTATCTCTTCACTTGTTCTCAGAAAAAAGTTAGTCATGTGTATAGAGAATTACAGTTTTAAAGCAAACGATAAACTTAGATTTAAGTAACAAGAATTTTTAAAAAGTGTTCATAGTGAAAAAACGATCAACTATTTATTTATCGACGAGATTGATTTTATATCAGCAACAATGATATTGATAACTAAAGATTATTTCATTTTGTTCATTATCGCCAATGGGTTGGGATTTTATGGGTAGAAAGTAATTTATCCTCTTAGAGAAGTGAAATTTTCGGATTTGATGCCAAATGAACTCATGGGAGCTGACTAGCGAAAAGTCTCATTGTAAATAGGAATATCTGTTTAATTTTCTGTAAATCTCCCACTCGTGTCACATTTTGGTCAAAGCTGTTTTGAAAAACTACATAACTCATCACGAAAACGTACATTTTACAGTTGGTATCACAAACTGATCATAAATAAACAACTACTAGACATCTGATTCGTCCTAGGAGTTCTCATCCACAAACCCATCGATGGTCGATACCAGGACTTTTAGGTTCCTCAGCAAACACTTAACGTTCTGACCATTAAGGCGACATTCAGTGATTTGTATGTCTAAATGTAATCAGTCCACAATATTTCACGACAATCTCCTAATATCATTAAGACAACTGTTTCATACTTAACACTGTTAAACTCCATTGGTCGAAAGTTCTAACTAGAACTCCATGAGTTATTTATCAAAATTAATAAAGGGATAAGTTATTTAAATCTTTTTATAAAAGACTAAGTTAAAACATTTTTGTCCTACATTAAAATTCGTTATAACGAAAAGCCAAGTAACCGATATTAAATTTGCTAAATTCTTTGAGCATTTAAATGACCTTGGGATATTATTTCATGACAACGTGTGTAAATGACAGCTAACATTTCTATTTATTTAAAAAAAAAACGCTGGAAATTATTCTAAGATATTTCATACTTTTCTGTTCTCTCTTCTCACAATGTACAGTGTCTTTTCTTTAAAGAAAGTAATTTTCGACATCGTTTCTATCATATTATAAATAAATAACCTGTTTATATCTTATCTAGAGTTACCTTTAGTCGTAATGTTATACTTAATATTTTTCGAAAATATGATAACACTATTAATAACAACAACATTGATGATAATGACTCATAGCTTTTTTCCTGCCCTGAATAAATAACATAACAATAAAAAAAAATTTCCTCAGAAATTTAATTCATTGTAATAAGTAAAATTAACTAAAATAAATTCCAGTAGTTGGAATCATGAGTCAATTGAATCTAGACAACCATGGAAAACCTGGAATCACTGGACGAATGTTTCGTCCTATTGTAGGATTCTTCAGCAATGCGCATTCACGATTCCGCCTCGCGAGTTTCGAACCCAAGACCTATCAGTCTTGCGCTCGTGCGCTTAACAACTAGGCCACTGAGTCGGCATTCAACGGTGTTAATGTCTAGCTTCAATTGACTCATGATCTCAACTACTGAAATTACTGCAATCTCCAGAAAACCCCTTCTGATACTAAAATAAATTTGTTGATAAATTGATTTATTTTTTTCTAATTTTGAAAAAAAGTTAATAAGTGTTAAAATTTAAAGAAATCAACAAGGCATGTGAATAAAATTATTATTTTATCTAGATATTTGTTTTTATTTATCTCATAGATAACCAATTATTTTCTTTGAGAAATAACTATTTCTATTTTTAAGTTGAAAAATATTTTAATAAATTTATGTTAAATAATACATAGATTTTTGTATAAATGTTTATGATAACCTAGTTATGAGACAATGTCGCTCGCGCGCGAGACTGACAGATCCTGGGTTCGAATCTCGCGGGGGTCATGATCGTGGATGCGCACTGCTGAGGAGTCCTGCAATAGGACAAAATGGTCGTCCAGTGTTTCCAGGTTTTCCATGGTTGTCTAGCTTCAATCGACTCATGATTTCGACTGCTGAAACTTAAAAAGAGGTTCATCTTATACGGTAACTCCTTAATATTATACAGTCAAAAGAAAATATCTAAAAGGCTGTTATACAATTTTAAATTTCCTATAAAGAGATAAGTAGAAAAAAATTATTAAAGTATATTTCTTTCTCTGATCTAGGTATATTTAAATGAAAGTAACTTTATTGACTAACAAAAAGCTCATATATTTGTAGTTTTTATTACCAAATAATTTTCTAGAACATTTTATGTCACTTGAAAATAATGTAAATGTTATTTAAATAATAGTTGTGAAAAGATATTTAAGTTTTTCTAATTATTTGTTTAATATATTAGTCTATTCAAATGGAATATTTTAAATGTTGTTGAAATAACTAATTTTAGGCATTTCTATGATGCAATGAGAAGACGAAGTTTATCAGAATTAAGTGATATATTTGCGCAATACATTTCGAACAAACTGACCACACTTCTATACTTGTTAAAACATTTTTACATAAAAATTTAAAGGTCAACTAGACAGGTTAAAGGTGAACCGTAATAAAGAAAAAATAATATAAAAGTACACGAAAACAATGTGATTACCACTCTGGGTAATAAATCAGTATTACTAGGATAGGTTAAGTGTAAGGACAAATTGTTTTTGAACGCATAAAGGAGGTTTCAGTTTCCGTATAGCCAAGGCTTCAATAAACCTTAGTATAAGTAGTTGAAGGTTTTTGTATAACACTACAAATGGTGACTTCAAGTTAGGCCTTTTAATTTTCATATAAAAATGTTTTAACAAGTATAGATGTGTGATCAGACTGTTCGAAATGTATTGCGTAAATATATCACACAATTCTGATAAACTTCGTCTTCTCATTGCATTATCAAAATTTATCACAGGGACTAATTTTAGGCATTACAAAATTCCAAAACCTACCGGTTATCTTAGATAGGTAGTTTACTTCTTTAATTTAATTAGATCTAGTCTTCATATCTTATAAGTGTCGACTATAATTCATAGTAATGTGTCACAAATAGTTGAGTCTTGAGTAATGTAGAGAATACAATATGTCTATGTGAATACGAAAGTCTTTCTGATGTTTACGAAGTGATTGTTTGATAAATTCCACTATTTCAAACAGAAAGTTTTACATTCAATCAATATTTTTTTTATAAAAGCAGGCAGTTAACATCTTTAAATTATTTTAATACTAAGTTAATCTTTAAATCCAATATACTTTCGATAGATAAAATCCAGTATAATGTTTTAAATCTTTTAATCAATTACTGTTTCTGTGAGTTAAAAGCTACGTTTTCTTATTGTAACTCACTAGGACACTAGAATTGTATAACTTAAAGAACAAACTCTACTATAGATTCTACTTTGTAAGTAATACATGTTTTATCAATCAATGACTGCAGTCTATAATAGTTAGAAAGTGTATCTTAAAAAAGATTGAAAATTCAAAACACAATTCTGATAAACTTCGTCTTCTCATTGCATTATCAAAATTTATCACAGGGACTAATTTTAGGCATTACAAAATTCCAAAACCTACCGGTTATCTTAGATAGGTAGTTTACTTCTTTAATTTAATTAGATCTAGTCTTCATATCTTATAAGTGTCGACTATAATTCATAGTAATGTGTCACAAATAGTTGAGTCTTGAGTAATGTAGAGAATACAATATGTCTATGTGAATACGAAAGTCTTTCTGA